TTCAAAATCCTGTACGAGGCATAAGTGCGCTCGCACCTTTAGTATGCACCACTTTCTTGGATTGCCTGTCCCTCTTCCACCTCCCTCTCTCCGTCTCATCTGCACCGTCTGGGCAGAATAGAGGATTTGAATCTCCGCAGGATACTTTATCCTACAAGCTTCCAGGTGAGATCAGAGAGAATAGCAACCCGGCCATAACGTCCGGGTTCCTACACTCTCTGGGGAAGTCTGGCTGAGACTAACTTGCCTGTCTCGCGATTAGGAGACGAAGGATCGAACCTCCACCCGTATCGTTGCTGCAAAAAAGAGAAGCATGCAAGGCAGCTCATCTCTCGCCTGAAATGGACTTCGAATGATCTTACATTATCATCAAAGTCTTCAACCCCAGAGAGATGCGAGCAGCCTTAATATTGCATAAAAGATTAATACTGTCAGTGTACAACACATGGCTCTATTTAGCGGTCATCAAGAAGACAGCCTCTATACCACAAGACGGGCAGGAAAGAGTACTTACACTCTAGTTGTATCTCTCTCTAAAACATTACTTCTTTTAAGATCATTTTTTAAAGAATGACTCGAGTCTGGTACATATTTGCACTGCATACAGAAAATAATTATGTAAAGTCAGTTGACACAGTGAAATCTCTGGACCACAGCTGCCTTCAGCATCGTTCTATTCCCTATTAACGTAATTCGTAACAACAAAGGTTTAGCTAAGGTAATGCTACGTAAGACTGAGAAAGGTAACAGTTCTCCGCTTGTAAATAAGGGTAAGAACTCTTAGCCTCACCTTGTAAAGGTCAGGGAGTGTTAAGAGTGAGTGAGAGAGAGAGAGAGAAAGAGAGAGAGAATCAACAATACTTCCAAGCCCCAACAACTGTATTGCCTTCTCGGTCTGGATATTAGCCGTAAGTGAAGCTTGATGTAAGTCTGATAGCCACGGTAACTCACACCATCAGGGAACTGCAGCTGCCACGAGCGCACTCTGTGCTCAGAGGAGAGCATTTTGCACACCTGTTTTAGGTATTAACGTGTTCTTGACTGGTGGTTAGCAGGTGACAGGCAGCCTTAATGACCCCTCGTGTAGTAGACAGGCTTTAAAAACAGTCAACCAGGCAGCTTCTCAGCAGTGACTGTCACACACACACCACTGTTCTCAGACTCACAGTTCCTCTCACAGCCTCTTAATGAACTATTCTAAAACACTTTAACAGCATCACTAGAAACGTGATTTGATAACGCTATACAAAGTGCGAAACATGATAAACCCTATACGAAGGGCGAAACATGACTTCAAGAAATTCCACACAGAGAGAAACGTTGCTGCAATAGGAGCTAAGTTTGCAACCCGCTACTTTAGCATTGTCTTCAGTGTTAGAAAAGACTCACTTGATACCACAGCCTGACCACGTCTAGAGAGGGAGGGGGTCTGTCCCTACAATCGTGGGTTCTTCCCCTACAATCTTGGGAGTCTCCCCACATCTAGGGAAAGGGGATTTCCCCCACAATAGTGGCACTGTGTGCCAAGATCTCTGGCACTGCGCCAGTAGTCACTTACATAAATCAGCAATTTGTTCTCTCCAACCTTCCTTCCTCTGTGTCCTGTGTCCCTCTTGTACGTCACCACTAGTCACCACCACCAGTCACCAACAGTCATCCTGATCCCCTTCACCACCACCACCACCACCACCACCACCACCACCACCACCACCAACACTACCACTACTACCACCACCACCACCACCACAACCACCACCACCACCAACACCACCACCAGTGTCTGGACTCTCTGATAAGACTCGTGCAGTTTGTCATGTCCAATTAACATAGGCCAGAAAGTGGCCCAAAATTTTGATTATTTCCAGAAATTTTTAAGAAAAAAAATCTCATTTCTTTCTCGAATGCAAAGATATTTAAAGAACATAATAAAGCCGAAATAAAACATCTTAATAATCTTCTTTACTCAAACGTCTTAAAGACGTCTGAAGGATAAGGCTTCTTGGAGATATGTATATATTTTTTTACATCTTAGAACAATTGCAGCCTTTTAGTCATTAATTTAGAGAGACACACACGGGACTTTAATGGCATGAGAGAGAATGTTTTCTGTGTAGCTTCTAAGAGACGGAGGATCGAGCCTTAACACACTCCCTGAGATGTCAAGAAAGGACACACGTTGGTTTTCCTGGGGCAAAGTTTCGCTGATCTCCAGCCGTTCCTGCAGAGCGACAGTTTGTCGTGCTGATCTCCAGCCGTTCCTGCAGGAGCGACAGTTTGTCGTGCTGATCTCCAGCCGTTCCTGCAGGAGCGACAGTTTGTCGTGCTGATCTCCAGCCGTTCCTGCAGAAGCGACAGTTTGTCGTGCTGATCTCCAGCCGTTCCTGCAGGAGCGACAGTTTGTCGTGCTGATCTCCAGCCGTTCCTGCAGAAGCGACAGTTTGTCGTGCTGATCTCCAGCCGTTCCTGCAGGAGCGACAGTTTGTCGTGCTGATTGTAAAAACACGAACACAATGATGTGAGTAGCACAGTAACCCTGTGTGCTACCACGTGATGATCTATATCTAAGGCTGAAAATGAGGGAGAGAGAGAGAGAGAGAGAGAGAGAGACAGCATCACCTTACCTCAGCATTGAGTTCATTCTTCATCTTCTCTTGCTTCTGACGAAATTCTGCCTCAGCTTCCTCTGCCTGTCTCTTGACCCGATGTAGTGTGCTCTGTGGGGGTAAGTTTCTCACGTTATTATTGTGGAGGTGAGATGCTGACGTTATTATTGTGAAGGTGAGATACTCACGTTAGTGTGACTTAATGAGTTATGAGGCTAACTCCTCACACTTGCTCACTGATATCAATCTATATCATGCACTTCAACGCGGTAGCATTAATACACATACAATAATTCACATACATTTATACACATACACTTTTATCCTCAGCATTCAAAAACATACGCTGATTTATTTTCTAATTTATTTTCAGATTTATTTTCTCTCCAAGCAATTATTCTGATGATGGGAGGAAGTTATTCAGACGCACGCGGATATAAAGGGTCTTTGATTAAAGGCATTAAGGTTCTCCCAATAATAGTGAAGCTACCTTTGTGGCATTCCATCTTTGTGGTACTCCATCTTTGTGGTACTCCATCTTTGTGGTACTCCATCTTTGTGGCACTCCACCTGTGCGACAGTAATTAAAAGTTTGGTACACAGGCGATCCACCAATGACAAGAGGATGGTGTGGCATCAAAGGGACTAATTACCTTGTACTATGGTCGGTTGTTTGTGTTTGAGGGGACGACAGCTACTCTGTACAACACAGCTCCTATTCCCTGTACTCACCTATTTGTACTCACCTATTAGTGGTTGCAGGGGTCGAGCCACAGCTCCTGGCCCCGCCTCTTCGCTGATTGCTACTAGGTCCTCTCTCTCCCTGCCCCATGAGCTCTATCATACCTCACCTTAAAACTATGTATGGTTCCCGCCTCCAGTACGTCACTTTCTAGGCTATTCCATGGCCTGACTACTCTATGACTGAAGAAATACTTCCTAACATCCCTTTGATTCATCTGAGTCTTCAACTTCCAATTGTGACCTCTTGTGTCTGTGTCCCCTCTCTGGAACATCCCGTCTTTGTCCACCTTGTCTATTCCGCGCAGTATTTTATATGTCGTTATCATGTCTCCCCTGACCCTCCTGTCCTCCAGTGTCGTCAGGCCGATTTCCTTCAACCTTTCTTCGTAGGACAATCCCCGTAGCTCTGGGACTAGTCTTATTGCAAACCTTTGCACTTTCTCTAATTTCTTGACGTGCTTGACTAGGTGTGGATTCCAAACTGTGTGTGTGTGTGTGTGTGTGTGTGTGTGTACCAGCACCACCGTCGACAGCACTGGCATGCAAGCATTTTTAACACCATTTCTTTATCTTGTTAAGCACCAGACAATATATTTTCCCGAAACATTAGTTCACGAAGACAACATAAAAGTTAGTTCCAAACAATTTTTGTCTTACATTCCCTCAGGCGATTGTCTTACACCTTTCACGACACGACCAGACGCTCGTACCTCTCTCTATGATCAAACATAACAAGGCGGAAGATTAGTGATTATACGAGTGTTGTAGTGTTGTATGGATAATCTAAATGAAGTTCACAGTGGCAACTTTTCCTTTCAGAGGCTAGCTGTAGAAATTTAGTAAAACAACAAAGTTTATACAATGGACATAGGCTACACACACCAGACAACGCTCAGAAATTGTAAGTTTCAAAAATAACATTGCTTGAAGGGGCGTTTCTGAGTGAGGCTATGTTAATGGAGACAGAGCAACTGCTCGCGTCTTTTCCCGTCGGCAGCAAATTGAAAACTGTTGACCTCTGAGAGTGTGGGACAGGAAAAGGTGGATGATAGTACAAGACAATTTGTCAAATCATGGCCACGCCCACTGATCGTTATGCAAGTAGTGCCACACTCCACAGCCTTGGCTCAATGAATATCATAAATAACATATCAAAGCTATCATACAGTATTATAAAAATGGGATACATTGATAAAATAATAAGCGTTACTATAACAGAATGTGTGGACAGTACGTCAGCTATAGAAAATGAAAGATATCCATATAAAAACAATCCTAACTTTGAAGAACTAATACTCAGACACTAAGTAAACAGACAAACACCTAATAACGCACAAACGTGCGTCACAACTTGGCTAGAACCACTGACAACTAACCCACAAATTAGAAATGAAAACTAGACGACGTACTCGCTCGTCTATGACCAATTTCAATTCGTCAAGACGGATGTACGGGCCGACAGGTGTGAGTATAAAGACGCTATACGCAGATCAAGACATTATTAGGACATCTGTACACTCATGGTAAAGAGTTATCAATTCATAACAGAGGTCAACCTTGAGCAAAAAGATCCTGCTATACGCAGTGGAGGACGGTTCGAGTCCCCTTCCGTTCTTCTGTTCATTCAGTGACAGTCGTTCAGAACGACTTATCTTGGGTTGAAGGTCCCAATAAAAGCTTATTTTGCATCATGTGTCTTCATACCCAGTAGTCATGACGTCTGATTCTTTCAACTTACCTTGAAGTTTTGAGTTTCTGTCAGCAGGTGAGACCGTCTGGGTAACACAACGTAAAGACAACATACACTTCCTTACCTGCCCCACTTGACGATTCGGTGGCGCCTTCTTCAGGCCTCGTATCTCCTCCTCTAAGATTCTCTCTCTCATCTTGAGGTGCTCCATCTCCCGGGCCGACGCCCGCAGAGCCTTTTGAAGTTCGTGAGTGACTCCTCTCAGCTGGATGGCCTCCGCTTCGTAGCTCTTCAGATGACCCACCTCGAGAACACAAGGGTCACACGGATCACACAAGGCCATTCAAGGGCAAGCAGATTTCAAGGCACCACACGCTGGGTGGTGGGGAAGGGCAAGGCAAAGTAGGCCATAGCTATGAAGCTAAAGGTCTGGGATTCAAGGCAGGGCAGGTCATGTTCGTGATGGAAGAGGACGAGGCAGCAGAAAACCCATTTTATAAAAGAAAGAGGAAGAGATTCGACGTACTAATGGACCATAGTGATGAAATAAAGAAGGGGCTACACTGGTCAGGGCCATAAGTTACAATGAATAAAGGATGAGACTTCATTTATAAATAGAGAGAAGAGGCTGAGGCTTAAGGCACAGGAGAGAAAAAGATTTGGGGGTTCGAAGCCGTGCCATAGATAAAGAGACAATGAGATCAGGAGCACAGTGGTCTAATTGCACCAAAAAAAAAGACAGTCGGTAAATATTTTTAATTAAAAACACAGACCAATGAAAACAAGTTAATTCATTCTTATCAGTAAACACAACAAGGAGCAGCCAGAGTTTGCTTGAACAGCGACCAGGATTCTTTTCCAAACAAGAGAAATTAATGATGAATATCAGTGAGGATTTAAAATTTCATAAATGATCATCTTAATGAGAGACAGATCTCGGGTGACAGGGAGAAGAATATTGTCTTTTAACATGACGAAAGATCGTGTAAATTGAAAACACGTGCATAGCAGAATTGTATTAGGACACGTTTTGCTCAGCGGGGGATTCGTCAGTACAATCACTGGATTAATAAAGAACCAGGTGAGTGAAACGTGTTCTAATTGTCCATACTCTGTATCTGTCTTAGTTATACATTTTTCGGTATTATACAACCTTGTATGATACAAGGTACTGTTTACCTTGTATGGTACAAGGTACTGTTTACCTTGTATGATACAAGGTACTGTTTACCTCGTGTTATACAAGGTACTGTTTACCTTGTATGATACAAGGTATTGTTTACCTTGTATGATACAAGGTACTGTTTACCTTGTATGATACAAGGTATTGTTTACCTTGTATGATACAAGGTACTGTTTACCTTGTGTGATACAAGGTACTGTTTACCTTGTATGATACAAGGTACTGTTTACCTTGTATGATGCAAGGTACTGTTTACCTTGTATGATACAAGGTACCGTTTACCTCGTATGATACAAGGTGCTGTTTACCTTGTATGATACAAGGTACTGTTTACCTTGTATGATACAAGGTACTGTTTACCTTGTATGATACAAGGTACTGTTTACCTTGTATGATACAAGGTACTGTTTACCTTGTATGATACAAGGTACTGTTTACCTTGTATGATACAAGGTACTGTTTACCTTGTATGATACAAGGTACTGTTTACCTTGTATGATACAAGGTACTGTTTACCTTGTATGATACAAGGTGCTGTTTACCTTGTATGATACAAGGTACTGTTTACCTTGTATGATACAAGGTACTGTTTACCTTGTATGATACAAGGTACTGTTTACCTTGTATGATACAAGGTACTGTTTACCTTGTATGATACAAGGTACTGTTTACCTTGTATGATACAAGGTACTGTTTACCTTGTATGATACAAGGTACTGTTTACCTTGTATGATACAAGGCATTGTTTACCTCGTGTTATACAAGGCATTGTTTACCTCGTGTTATACAAGGCATTGTTTACCTCGTGTTATACAAGGCATTGTTTACCTCGTGTTATACTAGGCATTGTTTACCTCGTGTTATACAAGGCATTGTTTACCTCGTGTTATACAAGGCATTGTTTACCTCGTGTTATACAAGGCATTGTTTACCTCGTGTTATACAAGGCATTGTTTACCTCGTGTTATACAAGGCATTGTTTACCTCGTGTTATACAAGGTGGGAACCAGTACTGGAGTTTACCTGGAGTACTGAAACTACTCACGGTTTTCTGTGTAAGTTTTCATTGGTAGACTAATCTATAAGTAATCTCTAACATTTTTATAGACATACTAATATAGTGATCAACTAAAATCACAGTTAGAAAATAAAATTATATATGATAGCTACAGTACAGGTAAGTAGCAGAATACTACAAAATAAATCATATGTTTTATTAAATGGATAAGTATTGTATAAAGGAATACAGTGAGAGAAGGGAGGGAGCACTAAGACATACTGTATTCCCCTTAGCCGCTAGACTAGTCTTGTTGCAAACCTTTATACTTTTCCCTGTTTCCTGACTTGCTTCGTGAGATGTGGGTTCCAGGTTAGTGCCGAAGTGGTTGGGCGAGTGATTGTGAAAGATTTTCTTTTGTGTGTGTGTGTGTGTATGTGTGTGTGTGTGTGTGTGTGTGTGTGTGTGTGTGTGTGTGTGTGTGTGTGTGTGTGTGTGTGTGTGTGGTTTAGCACATCTCGGTATGTCATGCCTGTTTTTATGAATGCTTCATAAAATAAAACATGTGATAGACATGCCTTGCGAAATCATAATAATACGAATGTAAACAAACAGCCGTACGGATGGGGTTAGAACCCATAGTGAATGAGTTTTACGACTCCCTTGCCATGGGTTCTAACACCATCCGTACGGTGGTTTGTAATAAATATGTTGCGTAAGAATTAATGTTTATTTAAACCTTACTAGAATAATTTGGGCACTTAGTAATGGCTTCAACACAGTTCTATGTGGAAAAAAAATATCCCTGAGCAGTCACAGCACATAAAAAAATTTGTACATTTCTATTTAGTGGTGGTGGTGAAGGCGGTTCTATTGTGCAGTTAAGACCCTGAACAACGCCTTGTTTGAGAGTGTATCCGGGAAAGTAACTTGGAGTCTTCCTGTATCGTACAGGTTCCCAGTCAATTATTTGCATAAATCTGTGTATCTTGTATACGTGTAGATAAGTGGTTCAGAGAACCAACAAGTTGATAAATTAGACACATGTGCAACACTTGGGTATCATTATTGTGGTGAATGTTAGAAGGAGTTTGACGTAATCAGTCCCTCAGCTTGGAGTTGATGTAATCAGTCAGTCTTTATTGATGAACTGATTACATCGACTCAAGGCTGAGGGACTGATTATCTCAAACTCCTCCTGTTCTTCACCGTTCTCCTTTGTATGGACTGATGAAGCCACTGTGTGGCGAAACGTTTCCTCAATACAGATACCCAATTGTTGTACATGTGTCTAATATATCACCATATATACGTAGTATATATGGTAGGTTGGTAGACAGCAACCACCCAGGGAAGTACTACCGTCCTGCCAGATGACTGTGAAACAAAAACCTGTAACTGTTTTGCATGATGGTAGGATTGCTGGTTTCTTTTTCTGTCTCATAAACACGCTAAGATAACAGGGATATCTTGCTACTCCTACTTACACTTTGGTCACACTTCACAGACACGCACATGCATATATATATATACATACATCTAGGTTTTTCTCCTTTTTCTAAATAGCTCTTGCTCTTTTTTATTTCTTCTATTGTCCATGGGGAAGTGGAAAAGAATCTTTCCTCCGTAAGCCATGCGTGTCGTATGAGGCGACTAAAATGCCGGGAGCAATGGGCTAGTAACCCCTTCTCCTGTATACAATTACTAAAAAAGAGAAGAAGAAAAACTTTTATAAAACTGGGTTGCTTAAATGTGCGTGATGTAGTGCGGATGACAAGAAACAAGATGATGCTGATGTTATGAATGAAAAGAAGTTGGATGTCCTGGCCCTAAGCGAAACAAAGCTGAAGGGGGTAGGAGAGTTTCAGTGGGGGAAATAAATGGGATTAAATCTGGAGTATCTGAGAGAGTTAGAGCAAAGGAAGGGGTAGCAGTAATGTTAAATGATCAGTTATGGAAGGAAAAAGAGAATATGAATGTGTAAATTCAAGAATTATGTGGATTAAAGTAAAGGTTGGATGCGAGAAGTGGGTCATAATAAGCGTGTATGCACCTGGAGAGAGAGAGAATGCAGAGGAGAGAGAGAGAATTTTGGGAGATGTTAAGTGAATGTATAGGAGCCTTTGAACCAAGTGAGAGAGTATATTGTGGTAGGGGACTTGAATGCTAAAGTAGGAGAAAACTTTTAGAGGGGTGTGGTAGGTAAGTTGGGGGGGGCCAGGTGTAAATGATAATGGGAGCCCTTTGATTGAACTTTGTTATAGAAAGGGGTTTAGTTATAGGTAATACATATTTTAAGAAAAAGAGGATAAATAAGTATACACGATATGATGTAGGGCGAAATGACAGTAGTTTGTTGGATTATGTATTGGTAGATAAAAGACTGTTGAGTAGACTTCAGGATGTACATGTTTATAGAGGGGCCACAGATATATCAGATCACTTTCTAGTTGTAGCTACACTGAGAGTAAAAGGTAGATGGGATACAGGAGGAATAGAAGCATCAGGGAAGAAGAGGTGAAGGTTTATAAACTAAAAGAGGAGGCAGTTAGGGTAAGATATAAACAGCTATTGGAGGATAGATGGGCTAATGAGAGCATAGGCAATGGGGTCGAAGAGGTATGGGTAGGTTTAAAAATGTAGTGTTAGAGTGTTCAGCAGAAGTTTGTGGTTACAGGAAAGTGGGTGCAGGAGGGAAGAGGAGCGATTGGTGGAATGATGATGTAAAGAGAGTAGTAAGGGAGAAAAAGCTAGCATATGAGAAGTTTTTACAAAGTAGAAGTGATGCAAGGAGGAAGAGTATATGGAGAAAAAGAGAGAGGTTAAGAGAGTGGTGAAGCAATGTAAAAAGAGAGCAAATGAGAGAGTGGGTGAGATGTTATCAACAAATTTTGTTGAAAATAAGAAAAAGTTTTGGAGTGAGATTAACAAGTTAAGAAAGCCTAGAGAACAAATTGATTTGTCAGTTAAAAATAGGAGAGGAGAGTTATTAAATGGAGAGTTAGAGGTATTGGGAAGATGGAAGGAATATTTTGAGGAATTGTAAAATGTTGATGAAGATAGGGAAGCTGTGATTTCGTGTATAGGGCAAGGAGGAATAACATCTTGTAGGAGTGAGGAAGAGCCAGTTTGTGAGTGTGGGGGAAGTTCGTGAGGCAGTAGGTAAAATGAAAGGGGGTAAGGCAGCCGGGATTGATGGGATAAAGATAGAAATGTTAAAAGCAGGTGGGGATATAGTTTTTGGAGTGGTTGGTGCAATTATTTAATAAATGTATGGAAGAGGTAAGGTACCTAGGGATTGGCAGAGAGCATGCATAGTTCCTTTGTATAAAGGCAAAGGGGATAAAAGAGAGTGCAAAAATTATAGGGGGATAAGTCTGTTGAGTGTACCTGGTAAAGTGTATGGTAGAGTTATAATTGAAAGAATTAAGAGTAAGACGGAGAATAGGATAGCAGATGAACAAGGAGGCTTTAGGAAAGGTAGGGGGTGTGTGGACCAGGTGTTTACAGTGAAACATATAAGTGAACAGTATTAGATAAGGCTAAAGAGGTCTTTGTGGCATTTATAGATTTGGAAAAGGCGTATGACAGGGTGGATAGGGGGGCAATGTGGCAGATGTTGCAAGTGTATGGTGTAGGAGGTAGGTTACTGAAAGCAGTGAAGAGTTTTTACGAGGATAGTGAGGCTCAAGTTAGAGTATGTAGGAAAAGGGAAATTTTTTTCCCAGTAAAAGTAGGCCTTAGACAAGGATGTGTGATGTCACCGTGTTGTTTAATATATTTATAGATGGGGTTGTAAGAGAAGTAAATGCGAGGGTCTTGGCAAGAGGCGTGGAGTTAAAAGATAAAGAATCACACACAAAGTGGGAGTTGTCACAGCTGCTCTTTGCTGATGACACTGTGCTCTTGGGAGATTCTGAAGAGAAGTTGCAGAGATTGGTGGATGAAAATTTGGTAGGGTGTGCAAAAGAAGAAAATTAAAGGTGAATACAGGAAAGAGTAAGGTTATGAGGATAACAAAAAGATTAGGTGATGAAAGATGAATATCAGATTGGAGGGAGAGAGTATGGAGGAGGTGAACGTATTCAGATATTTGGGAGTGGACGTGTCAGCGGATGGGTCTATGAAAGATGAGGTGAATCATAGAATTGATGAGGAAAAAGAGTGAGTGGTGCACTTAGGAGTCTGTGGAGACAAAGAACTTTGTCCTTGGAGGCAAAGAGGGGAATGTATGAGAGTATAGTTTTACCAACGCTCTTATATGGGTGTGAAGCGTGGGTGATGAATGTTGCAGCGAGGAGAAGGCTGGAGGCAGTGGAGATGTCATGTCTGAGGGCAATGTGTGGTGTGAATATAATGCAGAGAATTCGTAGTTTGGAAGTTAGGAGGAGGTGCGGGATTACCAAAACTGTTGTCCAGAGGGCTGAGGAAGGGTTGTTGAGGTGGTTCGGACATGTAGAGAGAATGGAGCGAAACAGAATGACTTCAAGAGTGTATCAGTCTGTAGTGGAAGGAAGGCGGGGTAGGGTCGGCCTAGGAAGGGTTGGAGGGAGGGGGTAAAGGAGGTTTTGTGTGCGAGGGGCTTGGACTTCCAGCAGGCATGCGTGAGCGTGTTTGATAGGAGTGAATGGAGACAAATGGTTTTTAATACTTGACGTGCTGTTGGAGTGTGAGCAAAGTAACATTTATGAAGGGATTCAGGGAAACCGGCAGGCCGGACTTGAGTTCTGGAGATGGGAAGTACAGTGCCTGCACTCTGAAGGAGGGGTGTTAATGTTGCAGTTTAAAAACTGTAGTGTAAAGCACCCTTCTGGCAAGACAGTGATGGAGTGAATGATGGTGAAAGTTTTTCTTTTTCGGGCCACCCTGCCTTGGTGGGAATCGGCCGGTGTGATAATAAAAAAATATACGTCATGATCCTCATCCAGCGTTCTCTGTTCATGACTTCTTGGGCAGTCAGGTCGACAAAGTGGCTGATTAGTTCATGGTGTAGACTGCCACTCAGACCAGTGTAGGGTAATCTGTGTTCTGAAATTTCTATGACGACTGCTGGATACTGTGGCACATAGTCTCTAACACAGATACTGATAGTTTGTTGAGATCTATATTATTAACTTCTATATGGTATGATACAATAAGCTTAAAGATTGTCTCTCATGAAAAAGTACAATAAGCTTAAAAAAGAGTACAATAAGCTTAAAAGTTGTCTGTCATCGACAAAATAATAATAAGCTTAAAGATCGTCTGTCTTCAAAAAAAAGTTCAATAAGCTTGAAGTCTGTCTTCCAAAAAATGAATTTCGTAGTCTGATGATCCTCTTGAAATTTTTACGAGAAAAGTTTTCCAAAGATCATTATCTTCTGACCTCATATGGTTAGCGAGAAGGTTTTTTGAAAAGTGTTTGTGTCATCTTCACGGTTTTATTTCCTTAGTGGGTTTACAGCTGTCCATGAAGGTCTCATTGTCAGATTGTATTTAATCATGGTAAATGGTGTCCATGGCTTCATGTCTATTGCTGTATTTTCATTTAATCCATCTGTAGATCTTGTGAGTAACGAAAACTGTGAAGGGTTAACGAAGGCATCTCGCTTACAATTTGTTCGGTCGTTGTGGGGGTTGAAGTCTAGCAGCCAAGTGTCTGGCCTATCGTGATGTTTGTCCAAGTTCCATGATAACTGTTCTTTGTCTTCCCTACTTTTTCATATTTACTGTATCACGGTATCGTCGAAGAGGAAGACAGTGGACGTTAACGTCATCCACCTACATTTGAAAGAGCAGAGATCCCAATTTTGATCCTTGTAGAGCCTGCTGGTTACTCTTGTACATTTGACGCATTTTGTTTGAGCAGTCGGTTTTTGTCCTCGTATTATGTACTCTGTCTGCTCTTTCTACTTGTTCCTTAAGGTTTCGGCTCGGTATCTTGAGTAGTTGTGTCAATTTTTTTTTTTCAGTCCGTGAATAGGAAGTTGAAATATCTCTTTGGCTTTAACTCTGTTGTGTGGTGTGTGTGTTGTGTGGTGTGTGTGTTTTGGGTGTGTGGTGTGTGTGTGTGTGTGTGTGTGTTGTGTGGGGTGTGTGTGTGTGGTGTGTGTGGTGTGTGTGTGTGTGTGTGTGTGTTTGTGTTTTTGTTTTGTGCCTTCTGGCTATAACTTACTACAAAAGTGATGTTTCCTCTTGGCACAGTTTATGTTTGGCACAAGGATGCTATTACAGAGTGAGTGCCAAGAGCCAGGAGGGGAAGAGAGGTATGGTAGGTAGGGAAAAATGGGAGGCTACTGAGGTATGGTGGGTAGGGACACATGGTAGTTACTGAGACATTGTTAGACAGGAAAGCAGAATGAGTAAGTCCTGAGGAAGGATTGCATAAAGTAACCAGCTGCTTAAGCGAACCACAAAAAGGAAAAAACAACACTATAACTACCTACCTCGGCCAGTTGTTCGTCAGCAATACGTCGATCCTCAGCCACCTTAATAAGGGAATCAGCCAGTTCAGACTCCACAATGTTCCTCATAGCAGTAATCCTCTCCTGAGGAGAGTAACTCATCAGGGCCACTACCACTGTTTTTACCACTGTGTAATACTTCTCCCCTTCCCACACACACACACACACACACACACACACACACACACACACACACACACACACACACCACACACACACACACATATGATAAGTGGAGTCAGAACGTGAGGGGACAGACAATCTGATCGCCTTTCTCCACAACAATGAAGATGTCAGTCTTTTATATAGCACAAGCTTGTAAACATCAGCAGGATCAGAAATAAACAGGTTAGCAGCCCGTTTCGCTCTAAGTCGAGGAATGACATGAATTTGAAAAAGCTGTACAGAGAGCGAAACTTTGTGTGTATAACAACAAAACTGTCAGTGTTACCGCCTTCAAACTGGCAAAAAATGTGACGTGCAACAAGAAAGTGAAGAATGTAACCATAAATTTTATTATCCTGTAAAAAGATGATAAGAACAGTCATTTGTTAGGAGATCATTCCCAGGGTCATTAGACTCCCATAAAATTTAATGCACTTCTAACGTTAGTATCAGGAGAACTGGATCTTGACGTCAGAGGGAATCGATAGCGCACATTAATGACTTACCAGGAAAATGACATCAATCGAGGCACGATTCGTAATATAACAAAGGATAAACCAAAGAATAATATATATATATATATATATATATAAAATATATAATATATATATATTTTTTTTTTTTTTTTTTTTTTTATCACACCGGCCGATTCCCACCAAGGCGGTGGCCCGAAAAAGAAAAAAACTTTCACCATCATTCACTCCATCACTGTCTTGCCAAAAGGGGTTTGCTTTACACTACATTTTTTTAAACTGCAACATTAACACCCCTCCTTCAGAGTGCAGGCACTGTACTTCCCATCTCCAGGACTCAAGTCCGGCCTGCCGGTTTCCCTGAATCCCTTCATAAATTTTTACTTTGCTCACACTCCAACAGCACGTCAAGTATTAAAAACCATTTGTCTCCATTCACTCCTATCAAACACGCTCAAGCATGCCTGCTGGAATCCAAGCCCCTCGCACACAAAACCTCCTTTACCCCCTCCCTCCAACCCTTCCCTTTGGGCCGACCCCTACCCCGCCTTCCTTCCACTACAGACTGAACACTCTTGAAGTCATTCTGTTTCGCTCCATCCCCTCTACATGTCCGAACCACCTCAACAACCCTTCCTCAGCCCTCTGGAAAACCCAGTTTTGGTAATCCCGCACCTCCTCCTAACTTCCAAACTACGAAAATTTTCTGCATTAAAATCACACCACACATTGCCTCAGACATGACATCTCCACTGCCTCCCCGCCTTCTCCTCGCTGCAACATTCATCACCCACGCTTCACACCCATATAAGAGCGTTGGTAAAACTATACTCTCATACATTCCCCTTTGCCTCCAAGGACAAAGTTCTTTGTCTCCACAGACTCCTAAGTGCACCACTCACTCTTTTTCCCTCATCAATCTATGATTCACCTCATCTTCATAGACCCATCCGCTGACACGTCCACTCCCAAATACTGAATAAAGTTCACCTCCTCCATACTCTCTCCCCCCAATCTGATATTCAAACTTTCATCACCTAATCTTTTTGTTATCCTCATAACCTTACTCTTTCCTGTATTCACCTTTAATTTTCTTCTTTTGCACACCCTACCAAATTCATCCACCAATCTCTGCAACTTCTCTTCAGAATCTCCCAAGAGCACATGTCATCAGCAAAGAGCAGCTGTGACAACTCCCACTTTGTGTGTGATCTTTATCTTTAACTCCACGCCTCTTGCCAAGACCCTCGCCCTTTACTTCTCTTACAACCCCATCTATAAATATATTAAACAACCCCCGGTGACATCACACATCCTTGTCTAAGGCCTACTTTTACTGGAAAAAAATTTCCCTCTTTCCTACATACTCTAAACTTGAGCCTCACTATCCTCGTAAAAACTCTTCACGCTTTCAGTAACCTACCTCCTACACCATACACTTGCAACATCTGCCACTGCCCCCCTATCCACCCTGTCATACGCCTTTTCCAAATCCATAAATGCCACAAAGACCTCTTTAGCCCTTTTCTAAATACGTTCACTTATATGTTTCCCCTGTAAACACCTGGGCCACACACCCCCTACCTTTCCTAAAGCCTCCTTGTTCATCTGCTATCCTATTTCTCCGTCTTACTCTTAATTCTTTCAATTTTTAACTCTACCCTACACTTTTACCAGGTACACTCCAACAGACTATCCCCCTATAATTTTTGCACCTCTTTTATCCCCCTTTTCCTTTATACAAAGGAACTATGCATGCTCTCTGCCAATCCCTAGGTACCCTTTCCCTCTTCCATACATTTATTAAACAATTGCACCAACCACTCCAAAAAATATATCCCCACCTGCTTTTAACATTTCTATCTTTATCCCATCAATCCGGCTGCCTTACCCCTTTCAAATTTTTCCTACTGCCTCACGAACTTCCCCCCCACTCACAACTGGCTCTTCCTCACTCCTACAAGATGTTATTCCTCCTTGCCCTATACTCGAAATCACAGCTTCCCTATCTTCATCAACATTAACAATTCCTCAAAATATTCCTTCCATCTTCCCAATACCTCTAACTCTCCATTTAATAACTCTCCTCTCCTATTTTTAACTGACAAATCCATTTGTTCTCTAGCTTTCTTAACTTGTTAATCTCACTCCAAAACTTTTTTCTTATTTCAACAAAATTTGTTGATAACATCTCACCCACTCTCTCATTTGCTCTCTTTTTTCATTGCTTCACCACTCTCTTAACCTCTCTCTTTTTTTCCATATACTCTTTCCCCCTTGCATCACTTCTACTTTGTAAAAACTTCTCAAATGCTAACTTTTTCTCCCTTACTACTCTCTTTACATCATCATTCCACCAATCGCTCCCCCTTCCCTCCTGCACCCACTTTCCTGTAACCACAAACTTCTGCTGAAGACTCTAACACTACATTTTTAAACCTACCCCATACCTCTTCGACCCCATTGCCTATGCTCTCATTAGCCCATCTATCCTCCAATAGCTGTTTATATCTTACCCTAACTGCCTCCTCTTTTAGTTTTAAAACCCTTTACCTCTCTCTTCCCTGATGCTTCTATTCTCCTTGTATCCCATCTACCTTTTACTCTCAGTGTAGCTACAACTAGAAAGTGACTGATATATCTTGGCCCCTCTATAAACATGTACATCCTGAAGTCTACTCAAAAGTCTTTTTTCTACCAATACATAATCCCCAAAAAACTACTGTCATTTCGCCCTACATCATATCGTGTATAACTTATTTATCCTCTTTTTCTTAAAATATGTATTACCTATAACTAAACCCCTTTTATACAAAGTTTCAAAAAACAAAGGGCTCCCATTATCATTCACACCCGGCACCCCAAACTTACCTACCACACCCTCTCTAAAAGTTCTCCTACTTTAGCATTCAGGTCCCTACCACAATTACTCTTTTCACTTGGTTCAAAGCCTCCTATACATTCACTTAACATCTCCCAAAATCTCTCTCTCTCCTCTGCATTTCCTCTCTTCTCCAGGTGCATACACGCTTATTATGACCCACTTCTCGCATCCAACCTTTACTTTAAACCACATAATTCTTGAATTTACACATTCATATTCTCTTTTCTCCTTCCATAACTGATCATTTAACATTACTGCTACCCCTTCCTTTGCTCTAACTCTCTCAGATACTCCAGATTTAATCCCATTTATTTCCCCCCACTGAAACTCTCCTACCCCCTTCAGCTTTGTTTCGCTTAGGGCCAGGACATCCAACTTCTTTTTCATTCATAACATCAGCAATCATCTGTTTCTTGTCATCCGCACTACATCCACGCACATTTAAGCAACCCAGTTTTATAAAGTTTTTCTTCTTCTCTTTTTTAGTAATTGTATACAGGAGAAGGGGTTACTAGCCCATTGCTCCCGGCATTTTAGTCGCCTCATACGACACGCATGGCTTACGGAGGAAAGATTCTTTTCCACTTCCCCATGGACAATAGAAGAAATAAAAAAGAACAAGAGCTATTTAGAAAAAGGAGAAAAACCTAGATGTATGTATATATATATATGCATGTGCGTGTCTGTGAAGTGTGACCAAAGTGTTAGTAGGAGTAGCAAGATATCCCTGTTATCTTAGCGTGTTTATGAGACAGAAAAAGAAACCAGCAATCCTACCATCATGCAAAACAATTACAGGTTTTTGTTTCACAGTCATCTGGCAGGACGGTAGTACTTCCCTGGGTGGTTGCTGTCTACCAACCTACTACCTACAATATATATATATATATATATATATATATATATATATATATATATATATATATATGTATATATATATAGTTTTAATAGAGAATATGCCACACCTGCAACACTCACACACCTACAACACCCTTACACACACACACACACACACACACACACACACACACACACACACACACACACACACGCGCATACACACATATACACACACACACCTGCACAACCTTACCTCAGCCTTTCTGTCTCTCTCCTCGAGTTTCTTCTTGTGATCTTTCTCCATCTCTCTCAACTTCCACTCGAAGTCCTCCATCAACTGCTGTTCTCTGGTGCTGTTCATTGTGTTCATGTTCTGAAGTTCTTTCTCGAAAGTGTTGATAAGTTCTTCCCTCTCCTGCGCTGCCTCGTCCAACGCCTTTAACAAAATGATTGTGGATTGTATTTTATGACGGTTGATTGTATTTCATGATTTTTTATTGTATTTCATGATGGTTGATTGTATTTTATGATTGTTGAATGTGTTTAATGATGGTTGATTGTATTTTATGATTGTTGAATGTGTTTAATGATGGTTGATTGTATTTTATGATTGTTGATTGTATTTAATGATGTATTGTATTTCGTGATGTATTTCGTGATAGATTGTATTTAATGATGGTGGAATACATTTCATAATGGACTGTTTTTCGCGATTGTAGATTCTATGCCATGATTGTGGATTGTATTCAATGGCAGTGGACTGCATGCCATGATGGTGCATTGTATTTCATGATTGTAGATATTGTATTTCACGACACTGAAGATTAATTTGGCTCACATCTTGAATAATCTTTATCTCCTCGTCTCTCTCTGTCTCGATCTCCTCTATCGTCTTGGAGAGCTTATCTCTCTCCTCCTGCGCTGCCTTCAGCGTCTCCTCCAAGTTCTCGATTTTCTTCTCCAACTCCTCAGTCCTGTCGCAATCTGAAGGAAGACAGGAAAGGACGGTGACTGCTACAGTCATAGGGTAAGCCGTGTAATGTAGTGACTGCTACAGTCATAGGGTAAACAGAGTAATGTAGTGACTGCTACAGTCATAGGGTAAACAGTGTAATGTAGTGACTGCTACAGTCATAGGGTAAACAGAGTAATGTAGTGACTGCTACAGTCATAGGGTAAACAGAGTAATGTAGTGACTGCTACAGTCATAGGGTAAACAGAGTAATGTAGTGACTGCTACAGTCATAGGGTAAACAGTGTAATGTAGTGACTGCTACAGTCATAGGGTAAACAGAGTAATGTAGTGACTGCTACAGTCATAGGGTAAACAGTGTAATATAGTGACTGCTACAGTCATAGGGTAAACAGAGTAATGTAGTGACTGCTACAGTCATAGGGTAAACAGAGTAATGTAGTGACTGCTACAGTCATAGGGTAAACAGAGTAATGTAGTGACTGCTACAGTCATAATCTGTGGGTAGACTGGGAAGGAAGATGACTGTCTCAGCCTGTATAGGAAATAAGGTAAGATAACAGCTTTCTGTCTCTAAATAAACAGAGGTAGGATAACAGCTCTTTGCTGTCTAACAGCAAGTCATATTATTGACCAAATACGATACCAAGTTCATGAACAAGATACATGTGCAACACTTGGATATCTTTTGTTTTTACACACGAAATCGTAATACCCTGATCGGAAACAAATCACGGAACGGGATTGGGGCTTGAACCTACAGGATCACCCGTTCCGTTAATTAATGATTATCTTCATTACTTCGGCAGTAAAGATACCTCCACGTGTTGCACATGGATCTTCGTCAACGGATAAGTAGGTCAAACTTACTAGCCGTGGCGGTGATCTGGTTCTGAAGGGCGACATTCTTCTGGCGAGCCGCATCGAGGTCCTCCTCCAGCTTCTTCAACTTCGACTTGGTGAGCTCCACCTCGTTCTTGGAGTACTGAAGCTCTACTCGAAGACCTAGCAAGACACAGAAAGCTTTAGGGTGACTGGATGGTTTTAAGGTCCGTCGACTACACGAAGGTTATTAAGGCTACATGTTCCCTGTAATCCGCCACTCGACAGTAATTTACTATGATACTTAAATCTATGATTAAAGTGAATTCTCAGTGTAGAGAAGGTATATCAAGAAAGTTTTCAGGGTAAGGGAGAACCAAAATATTCTTTATTGAATATGACTGTCCGTTTCAGAATTGTAAAAAAGTATGTTTAGCAATTTTAAAAGATTTAACAATTAAGCGCATCGGGTATTTTAGATCATTGGCTATTTTACAAATTTTCAATATTTCTTCATCTATGAATTCTGGGCTACAATACGCGAAGCTCTCAAAAACATGGATGAGAATACAGATTCAAAATATACATCACAATGTGAAGAATAATCGTGTGCATAAGAACAGTTATTTTCTGGTTTTCTGTATATTTTGAGTTTAAAATCAAAGTCCCCCCTTAAGGGATTGGAATGTAAATCGATAAAGAATGAATATCAGTTTTTGAGAAAGTCTTCTAATTTGATGAGATCTAAAGTAACATATTTGTCTAATCTCAACATCATGTCATTGCCCGATACCTCTTATAAATGTTCTTTCTCTCTAACTCCCTATATTGAATTCCCCCCGTCTCGCACTCCCCTTATTCTTCCCGTCTCCTTGTCTCGCCTCCTGCCTTAACAACGCTGGAAACACTGAGACAAATTATATTGTGACAAACCATTTGCAATTTCAACATTTCACGCTAGGGCAGCTGGGATCTCTGCAGCCATGATGGTGCTCAGACTAATGTTGTTATGGCGCTGAGGCGGACTAATGGTAGTGGCGCTTAACACTGCTCTCTCTCTCTCTCTCTCTCTCTCTCTCTCTCTCTCTCTCTCTCTCTCTCTCTCTCTCTCTCTCTCTCTCTCTCTCTCTCTCTCTCTCTCTCTCTTGTATATATATATATATATATATATATATTATATATATATATATATATATAATATATATTATATATATATACATAAAGACAGCATCTTTGCAGGTAGGTACTCTGTTCTGACGCATTATTGCGAAAGGGAAGCCTGTTAAACAACTTGCACTCTGAGAGGATTGATGCTGTTCTTGTCATTTGAGCATGAAGATACCGTTAACACTAATAATAATAATTATTATATTAATAATAGCAACAATAATAATAACAGTAATAATAATAATAGTAATGATAATAATAATAATAATGACAATAATATTAATAATAATAATATTAATGACAATAATGATAATAATAATAATAATAATAATAATAATAATAATAATAATAATAATAATAATAATAATAATAATAATAATAATAATAATAATAATAATGCCTCCACAGAATTACCCTGAATAAGAGAGACTTATCTCTCTCTCCCCAGAGCAAGAGACTAAATTTCCCCTGCTTAAACACCTCTGCATTAGAGGACTCAGACGTAGGAAGCACAAGGAAATTAGGAACCAGGACCACGGAACCTAATTAACATTTGGGAAATGAAAGGGAACTAATTACCGAACCAAAGCAAAATTAGTAGAAAAACCTAATTAAGAGTAATTAAGAAGGGAAAGTAATTAGGAAGACATATAATAGAGACACCTGATTAGAGGGATGCTGTATCTAATTAAGGGCACCTAATTATCTATGTGCAGTGTAATTTTATAATTATTAAAAGGGAATCATCTTTTCTTTCCTTAAAATCTCACAAAATTTCTAAATTAGATTTTGATTTTGATTTTTTTCCTACAATTCGGTATTTAAAATTTGGTTAAGTGATTTTTTTTGTAACTGGGCGAAACGTGACTTGATTAAAGCTCTATACAGGGCGAAAATTGACGTGATAAAACTCTACAATGAGCGAAATGTGAATTGATGAAGCTCTACGCAGAGCGAAACGTGACAATAAAGTTTTACACAGAGCGAAACATGACCGGATGAAGCTCTACAGGAAACGAAAAGTTGCTAAAGCTCTAAACAGTTCGAAACATTACTTGACAAAGCTCTACGCAGAGGGAAGCATAATTTGGAAGAACTCTACAGAGAGCGAAACATTGCTTATACAGCTGTGCACAGAGCGATACACGATAAAGCTCTACACAGGGCGAAACACGACTTGATAAAGCTCTGCACAGAGCGTTGACCCAGCGAAGCATCGTACAGAAACGTGTTTCTCTTCAATATCATCGAAGTTTCGCCCTTCGAGTCCCTCCTTTTATTCGCGTTTCTGGCGAAAATGGAGAATAAATTTGGAGATATGGAATTGTGTAGCAACCTAAGAATGGCGAAGATAAATGGCGCAGGTGGACTAGTTATGTTTAAAATTATTATTTTTTTCTTAAATTTCATAGTTCTGTTGTTTACTCTTAGTGGTTCTGTTGTTTACCCTTAGTGGTTCTGTTGTTTACTCTTAGTGGTTCTGTTGTTTACCCTTAGTGGTTCTGATGTTTACCCTTAGTGGTTCCGTTGTTTACCCTTAGTGGTTCTGATGTTTACCCTTAGTGGTTCCGTTGTTTACCCTTAGTGGTTCTGTTGTTTACCCTTAGTGGTTCTGTTGTTTACTCTTAGTGGTTCTGTTGTTTACCCTTAGTGGTTCTGTTGTTTACTCTTAGTGGTTCTGTTGTTTACCCTTAGTGGTTCTGATGTTTACTCTTAGTGGTTCTGTTGTTTACCCTTAGTGGTTCTGTTGTTTACCCTTAGTGGTTCTGTTGTTTACCCTTAGTGGTTCTGTTGTTTACCCTTAGTGGTTCCGTTGTTTACCCTTAGTGGTTCTGTTGTTTACCCTTAGTGGTTCTGTTGTTTACCCTTAGTGGTTCTGTTGTTTACCCTTAGTGGTTCTGTTGTTTACTCTTAGTGGTTCTGTTGTTTACCCTTAGTGGTTCTGGTGTTTACAATTAGTGGTTCTGTTGTTTACCCTTAGTGGTTCTGTTGTTTACCCTTAGTGGTTCTGTTGTTTACCCTTAGTGGCTCTGTTGTTTACCCTTAGTGGTTCTGGTGTTTACTCTAAGTGGTTCTGTTGTTTACTCTTATTGGTTCTGTTGTTTACCCTTAGTGGTTCTGTTGTTTACCCTTAGTGGTTCTGTTGTTTACCCTTAGTGGTTCTGTTGTTTACCCTTAGTGGTTCTGATGTTTACTCTTAGTGGTTCTGTTGTTTACTCTTAGTGGTTCTGTTGTTTACCCTTAGTGGTTCTGTTGTTTACCCTTAGTGATTCTGATGTTTACTCTTAGTGGTTCTGTTGTTTACTCTTAGTGGTTCTGTTGTTTACTCTTAGTGGTTCAGTTGTTTACATCTCATGGTGATGTTTACATCTCATGGTAATACTGCTGATCTCATGGCATTGTTTACACTGCATACGCCTCAAGGTCAACTCTGTTTGCGTCTCACGTCTAGACTGTTTGCCCATTGCTAATAAATGTCCTTAAATGACTGTCATTATATCCCTTCTGATATGATTATTTCCCTAATTGACCCTGCTTAATGAAGGCTCCTCCTCTCGTTCGGTGAATTACACAGGCAGTTGTGTGAACCTCGTTAATGGAGTGTCAGGTGGGCTAATTGAGGAGATTAACCAGTCTCTGGTGATGGGGGGGGGAGGGGGAATTAACCCATTAAGGAGATTATTCGCTTTCTATTAATTAGCGAGTAATGTGTGTGTTTTAATCGTTGATTTTCCGTATTTATGGGGTGAGGTGGGACGTGGTGGATATAATGGGGAGGTGGATTGATGAGTTTAAAACCCAGGAATGGGTTGTGTGTGTGTGTGTGTGTGTGTGTGTGTGTGTGTGTGTGTGTACGCGTTTGGACACGTATGTACATGACATAGACTAACACATTTAAGACGCTCACAGAGAGAGAGAGAGAGAGAGAGAGAGAGAGAGAGAGAGAGAGAGAGAGAGAGAGAGAGAGAGAGAGAGAGAGAGAGAGAGAGAGAATAAACTGTCTCAAACAACCAGAGATAAGTATAAAGTATTCAACTCACGCAGGACCTTTAAATGGAGACTGGGGTGTCTCTCTCGCATATTAAGCACTCAGACCAACCTCACCTTTGTGAGTAAAACTCCTTTTAAGAAGCACCTGCCCCCCCGTGGCTTTTATTTGCCGTTTTTGTCGACGGGGTTTTCTGTTCTAGCACTTGCTGTCTTCGGGGAAATAATGTGAAATTACAAAAAAGAAGAAGAAGGGGGTTGTAGTGGGGTTGTGTAGCTGTGTTGGGGTTGTAGTGGGGTTCTGTAGCTGTGATGGGGTTGTTGTGGGGTTGTGTAGCTGTGTTGGGGTTGTTGTGGGGTTCTGTAGGTGTGATGGGGTTGTAGTGGGGTTGTGTAGCTGTGATGGGGTTGTTGTGGGGTTGTGTAGTTGTGTTGGGGTTGTTGTGGGGTTGTGTAGCTGTGTTGGGGTTGTAGTGGGGTTTTGTAGCTGTGATGGGGTTGTTGTGGGTTGTGTAGCTGCGTTAGGGTTGTGTAGCTGTGTTGGAGTTGTGGTGTGGCTGTGGTGGGGTTGTGTAGTTGTAGTGTGGTTGTGGTGGGGTTGTGGTTTGGTTGTTGTGTGGTTGTGGTGGGGTTGTGGTGTGGTTGTGGTGGGGTTGTGGTTTGGTTGTGGTATGGATGTGGTTTGCTTGTGGTGGGGTTGTGGTGTGGATGTGGTGTGGTTGTGGTGGGGGTGTGGTTTGGTTGTGTTGGGGTTGTGGTATGATTTTGGTGTGGTTGTGGTGTGGTTGTGGTGTGGTTGTGGTGTGGTTGTGGTGTGGTTGTGGTGGGGCTGTGGCGTGGTCGTGGTGTGGTTGTAGTGTAATTGTGGTGGGGCTGGCGTGGTCGTGGTGTGGTTGTAGTTGGGAGGAGGTGTGCCTTGAGACGACAACGCTAGCGGCTTCAGGGCCAACACACTGCCATCCCACCACCATCAGGGTCAGCACAGTGCCAACCCACCAGCCTCACTTGAGAGGCAAATTCCCTCACTC